CATTACACAGGAAATCCGAGGAATAGAGTTTTCTTCTCCACTGCTAACGGAATGGGTTTTGCTGATCTCTCTGTAATATCCTTCGCAAGACACCTTCTCGAGAAGCAGATTTGGGATCTTAGTAAAGCTTCCGTAGACACTAACTTCCGACTGACTTTTTCTAATCCTTTGTGCTAAACAACGGACTAATTTGCTTCTCTGGTTAAGGGCTGTGAAAATTCTGAAATTCGTGTATTTCTCGGACACGGTTTTCTTCCATTGTACTGTTGGATCTTCTGTCTACGATTACATTCAAGAAAGGGAGCAAACCTGACGTTTTAATCTCAAAGGTGAACGTCATCGATGGATGCGCCTGGTCTTTAGCATCTAAGGGAACGGCTACATTGGGTTCTGTGGTGGCAATCGCAAAGATGTCGTCAAGGTAGCCACCGTAATATTTCAGTCTGTTGATATGGCCGCTTAGTTGAAATTTCCCTGATAAATGAAGAAGAAGGGATGAGCCCAAAGATACGCTGTTTATCTCTATCGTTCGTTGCCAAAAAAATAAATGCCCAGTAACAGTTCTTTGAGCGTGTTCGTTGGCATTCCTGAGTCCTGCTGGTTGGCCGATAGGAGTTTTTTGAGGTAATTTGCTGATTTTGGCTGTACGTTTGTAAAAAGCGGTGAGACATTTCGTACAACTCAAATGTTTTAATTGACCCCGTCAAATGCATTTTATTCAAATGAGAATTTGCTAAAGGCAAACATACTCGTCATCTGGCCATCTGAACTTTCTAATTTTTTGCGACGCTTTAGTCCTATTGTGTTACACTTGCGTATATCGCCCTACGGAACTTCCTAGATGATATTTGTCTTAAAACTACAAGAAGTCCCGGTGCATCTTTCATATCCTGGTGCAGCATGGCGAATGTAACCTATTTATCCTCCCTTCTTTGGGTTTTTTAAATATGTGCATGATGATATGAAATTGATTCGGTGAGGAACCTTGGTAAAATGAAATAAAGTCCCTATTTTAGGGAGTCGCACAATTTCACTTTATGTTTTGAATTCCTACTCGTTTGTCCGAAGAATTTTCATTCCCATAGCACTTCTCAATTGCTTTTACTAAACACGATCGTCTTCCGATCATCAGTAAGACGTCTACTTTTGACTCCTCATTTGTATTTTCTCCGGGGGTCATTGAACATCTTTCCTTTATTTACTAATGTGCCTCCGATTTACATTGTAAAATGCTGGAACGATTTTTATAACTTTTTAGTGCGTTCCCAAAACTAAGTACTACCGATGTTTTTAATGCAAAATGACGAGTGTTGAAAATCAGTGTGGCCGCTGGACTCGTTGGTTTACACCAGCTACTGACTGGATGGCTGCAACTGCTCACACAATGACCGGCAGTTTTGCCTTGTAGCTCATAAAGTGACACATTGATTGGCCTTTCATCCTGCGCAGTAATCCTGGTCCCCACGTGGCGGGCGGCCACAAAGTAAATCGGATCATGTGCACACGATATGGCTTGTATACCCGCGGCCGGTGGGGCTGATTCACTACTCGGTCGCTTCAAACACTAAGCTGAGAAACGCTACCAATACTAACAAGCCTTTTCGCGCCTGTTTAAAAGGTTATCGCAATTTACGAAGGCTACTTATCCGTCTAGTCTTATGAATTGATCTAAGCATGATAGATCCAATTTGCTTAACTCTAACTTCCTAATTTTTCATTTTCATTCGGAGAAATTATTATCAAGAATAAAATGAAAGAAAGAATAAGAGTGGTTTTAACCTGCCTATTCTTATCGCAAGACATTTCTGCTTGGCAGTCGATCTTCGGTGCTGGAACCCTTGCATGCGGTCACATAGCAGTAAACAATCAGTACCAGCGGCGCCATTCACAAAAAAATGAGGGGCCTGAATTGTCCTTCCTGGACTTTAGAATATGGCTGGTAGATGGCGGTTACTTTCATTGAGCTATCAAGCTCATTCAGAGGTAGTTATCACTACATCTATATGGAGGTATTATAATTTCATCAGATAAGCATAAAGTTGTCGTGCTGTTTAACTCGTTTAACAAAGCTTGCGGACCAGGTAATGATGCCGAATAAGTCTGAACGTCCTCAGAAAAAGGCAATTCACATCAAAATGTTTAAATATCGGTTATTTCTGAACACGTAGGTTCCCTACGGTAAACCCCCCCCCCCCCCTCCCAATCATCTCAATAATTGAAATGGTAGTGAAGGGGGTTTTGGGGGTGGGGTAGTAAGGAATAGGAAAGGGTGTTTTAAAAAAGGTTATAAAAACTACAAATCCCATTTACGTTATCCGCATGCTTTCGTCTACCCAATGGCAACAAAGCAGAAGTCCGCGCAATACGGTGTTAACTTTCAGGATACCGCGCAACGTCATACTGAAAACGTTGAGTGCCTAGTAGACAAAAGGTAACTATGCAATTCAGTTAGAAACCCAGTGACCAATTACAGTTCGTTATGACTGTCACCGACATGATCCTAAATCTAGTTCCAATCATTGTTAGGAAGAGTTGTTAGCGCGTCTTGCAGAATTACTGATTTGCCTTTGATATGAAAGAACCATGTTTGTACAGGCAATGTAGAAAATTATCATAACTTAGTTAGATCACATCACTTTCTTCTTAAACAAAGCAAATGGCTTGCCGAATGTTCTCTTCAGAAGACGAAGATTCAATCACTGGAACAAGAAATTTATTGGCCTGACGTTTTTTATTCTTGTTCCGGTGATCGCATCTCCGGCTTCTGAACTGTTTCCTGAAACTCGCCTGTTCGTTTCTATCGAATGTTCTATTATTAATTAAAGTGAGTCTGCACGTGTACTGTTGTAATATTGAGGGAAAAATGTATACTGTTAGAATACAAATGGAAACTATAGATGAGTCAGCATAACTACAGCCTTAAAAGCAATCCAGTTGGCGTTATTAGTATACAGACGGTAACCAATCTCGCAAAATGTTAAACCTTTTAAATCCGAATGCATTTTATAGAAAACCGTCCAACGGGAATGGTGGTAATAGGGGTTGTACGGGTAGGGTCGTCGGACGCACGGAAAAGGAGATAGAGAAAGTAGGCAAGAACATCACATCGAAAATCTTCTAATACGCTTAGAATTTAAACGCTAACTAAGCACACAAATTCGAAAAAGTAGCCAAAGCGGTAGTCAGGGAAATTCGGGCAACTGAATAGGCCGCCTTCAACTAAATAACTGAAGATCAGGTTCCAAGGGAAATAGCATCCAGCGATAATACGCATTGGAAATAAGTCGTGGTATATAACCTAGATTTCAGAACGAAGACGGTACTGGAATATTGAAGCATAGAAAGTCAAGTTTTCCATGTAAATGTAAACATCACTATCAGTAAGTAGGTGGTATTTTCAATAACAAGAAATGGTGGTAAATTGTAAACTAATCCCTTCTTTGACGCAGACCACCGCCAACATACACTGTGAGACGCAGACGTAATGGAGCCGCTTGGAAAGAAAACTACATGAAGAAGGCCCTTTGTCGGGCCAAACCGGCTGGGCACACAATGACGAGATACAATGTCGTCTATAGTTTGGACTAAGCACCACCGGCCTAAAACAGGTATGCGAACCTCCCTGTCACACATCGCGGAGATGCACCGCGTGAAGTGGACGAACTCTGGATAGGCGCGATGGAACCAATACGCAAAAGCCAATTTTCTGAGTTGTAAAAAGCTTCATTTGTATAAAGTAATTTCAAAATACTCAGCCCCTGATATGCAGTAGATTGTGAACAAAACTTTCGTACAATATCTAACACAGTAATAAGTCTATATAGAGATTCCTGCAATGCCTGGTTCCCGAGGCGGTTGTTTGTAAGGTCGATAACACAAGACGGTGAAACACGTAGGTCAAGCCAAAACCAAGGCCTAAGTGGTACATGGGAAAAACACAGTCGAACAACATCTGCTTAAAGAAATGCAGTAGCGAGTCTTGTACATTATTAGGTCTACCCCGGGTACAAGTCTTATCCTTACCCCAATAATTCGCGCTGTTTACGTCAAACTGGGAGAGTTTTCCCTAAAAAAAATTGGTTCTACATAGTGCTGAGGGTAACCATTTGTGCTGGTTATCATAATAGCGATGGTACTCCCAGTTATGGCGGTGATAGTGTTGTGGGCAGCCATCATGGCCAGTCTGACGTCGTTGTTCAAGGCCTCGCTGCCTCAGGGTTATTCACTCCTTACAGCGGGCGGCTCCAGACGCTCTGATCTGCAGCCACTCGACCGACTTCAACTCGGACGCGTGTGCGTCCACAAAATTGCAGCCGCCCATGCGATCACTCGAACGCGCCTCCTCCCCTGCAACCACAACCTAAGCTACAGGGGCACCACCCTGTAAGCGACCTAACCGTGCTAAGTGTCGAAACCCTCCTTTTCGACCCCCAATAAGAACACAAGGCAGTGGCCTAAGGGGGTTATTTGGGACGACGGGAGGGGGGTTAGAGTTCAGACAGGGTCGAGAACACAGGAAGGTACTTTGACGGAGACTGGTTGACCTGGAGGCGGTCCTCGGTTGATTCGGCAAGCGAGAACGGCGAGGACGTGTGGGGGCGTCGGGGGGCGTTCTCCGGTTCAAGGTGCCCGGATATCACTTGTCCTCGGTATTTATGGTGCCGGTATTCTCCTTCTCACCTGTGGTAATCAAATGAACACCGGAAGTATACCGGGGGGGGGGTCTGACGACCACGCTGTTGCCTCCAGTTTCCGCGAAGACAGAGAGACTGGGGAGGACTCCGTTGCCACCTGACCGTTTGGGTCCCAACATGATAGGTTTGTCGTTGTCCCATGGCGAAGACATCGACCGAAGGGCTCCGAGGAGTAACAGGTGTTTGGCGAAGACCGAATGGCACCGAGGGAGGTTGCGGTTCCAGCGGGTACGCCGTCTGGATGACTTCTTCGCGGCGAGCGATACCGAGGGCCACCTTGATACTGCTGGGCGGGTTTCGGATGAACTAGCGTTGGATCTCTGGGAGGGCGATGCCATATACAGAGTTCTGCAGTATCCTGGCCTCCAGCTCTGCGAAGGAGTTGTCGGGAAACTCCTGTCGGGCCAGGACACGTAGATGTCGTTGGAAGTCGACGACCGATTCCCCAGCAAGCTGTCGGCGCTCCTTCAGGGCTGCACGAGCAACCCAGGGCATCGAAGGGTGACCAAACTCTCGTCGCAGACACTCGAAAATCGTTGCAGGCATGTGTGAGGCAATGAGATTGGCTGCCCTGTCAACGGCATAAATTCTGTTGTCGAGGCGGCTAAGGATGGCGGCTGGACCTACCCCCTCGTTAATGACCTCCAGATGGATCTGCATACGATCCTCTCAGAGATTGTTATCGTCGTACGCCGTCAGCCTGTCTGACTAGGGTGGACGACCCCTGGGCGTCGAAATCCACTACATATCCTTTACGAGCCGTTCTAACAATCGCTCGTCAGATACAACACACCCCGATTGGAGACCACTTGAGCTTGGCCCACGAGCCTACAAAAGCGGCTGCCACCACCATCTCAAGGATTCTCGGGCGAGTGGACGCAGCCAACCCCAGCCCTGGCTTCGCCAGTGGCCACTGCCGCATGAGAGGACAACTCGGGTTCTGTATACAATAAACCCTTCATTCTGGTAAATGCTGTCCTCTCCATACAACTTGGGATTTGACCTGAGGATTGCAGCGCACTGAGTACACACTGCTCCGCCTAGCCTCTGCAATACTCATTTCTGGCATCACATAAGCTATGTAAGTTAGGGTTTGCAAATTCAAGTTTTTAGAGATGCCCAGACATCAAGATTGCGGTTACTCCTGATAAGTCTAAAGGGAAGGGGTATAGGACGGGTTTGTTGGCTAAGGAAACAGGACAGTGTAATTGCTGACTGTGATGCATATACAGTTGTCAACATCCTCTGTTACACAGTTGCTTGCCATTTAGCTGAGCTTAAATTAATGAGGCAAATGGTTGATCGAATCCAAGCCAAGAAGAAACTTCAATGGATGTAAGTGCCGGTGAGGTAATTCATCAGACTTTATTTTCGGGTTTAGATAACAAAAAATGAATGAGCACGGTGACCTCACCAGCGTAATTTGTGAGACGTGTTAGCAACAGTCGCGAAGACTTAAAAGTGTATGCTATAAAGCAAGGCGAATAAGTGCGGTGCGCAAGATGCACTAATCATAAATCTAACAGAACCGCAAGTTTGCAAGGCAAAGCTCTAAAAGAAACAGGCAAGGTAACTGCGAAGACATGGTATTCACAAAATTTTGTAATGGATGGGAACTATGCTGCATACTTTACACGGAGCATTAGTGAACAAACATTTGCGATGCTCTTTGGATGAACATTTTGTGTATACAATTCCAAGATGTAATTGGCCACTAAATGAGTAACTGCGTAGTGCCATGAAAAGACGTTCATTTTTAGTGCGTCAAAAATACGACCTGTAAAACCTTTGACACAACTCTCAAGAACTGTTTACCATCAGGCTGAATTCTCACGCTCATTTTGTTTCTCCTTATTCTACTCGAGTATATGCACGTGTATACTTATCCTTCAAATCCAGGCACAGATCAGTTTTGGTCCTGTGTTTTATTAAATATAATTACATTCACAAAGGCATTTAAAATCAATTGGAATAAAATCACACTACCTAAGTGGGCATTTTAGTGCGTCTGGTTTCTTTCAGGTGGCCGAAAAGAAGTGCATTCAGACGCCGGTATCCTAGTATGACTGATATCGTGTGATCAAGTTGTATGATTATCAATCGTATAACCATGCGGAATTAATTCCCTGTAAGTGAAAACACATTTCATAATTTCGGTTATCAGTTAATGGGATCGGTCACTGGCTCTAATAACATCGTCAACTGCATGGCTTTTTAAATCTGCAGTAGCTCTGGCATATTCCTAATTTCCTTCCTTATCATAGCAGCATTGGGCTTCCCTCAATATTACAACAGCACACGTACAGACTCACCTTTGGTGATAATCGAACATTCAACGAGTTGTTAGCTGCCAGTGCCTAAGTGACTATTGACAACAACAGATGACCCACGGGAAGAAACTGAATTGCCTAGGCATTTCAGAGGTTATTTTCACCTCACTAATACTAAGTATGGCACCAGGTATTATGACCAATGCGTGGTTTGTTAACTCGAGCCTCTAACTCTCTTTTTACTTTATTTGTATAGCCCAATTTGTAACCACCTTATGTGAATACAAGACGTTGCACGAGCAAGCACAAACCCTAATCATGCGCACGCGCGATGTGCTGCGCAAACGGCTCAGACGATTTGCCTGCGTGTTATCACGCGCTCCGCCCGCGCAGCCAGGTGGCGCAGCTCACACCGTCGCGAAGTGCAAACGGCGTCTCCACGCCGGGGGAACATCGTGGACCAGGCGGCACAAACCCTATCTAGCCACGGAAGTACTCCCCCTCCCCCCCCGCAAGGATGAACGGTATAAATGTTCACAATTTGCTGCACTCGAGTAGCCTCTGATGATGAACTCTAGTTCGAGTTCGAAAGCTCAGACAAATAAACCTACCGTCCCAGTGATCGTGCCTTCGCCTTCTTTTAAATCAAAAGAACGTCCATGGGTTCCCCAATATCCGGCCTAGTCGCGGAATTAGTTCTACAACAGCTGGAAAAGGTTGCTTTTAGTCACTACAAACCTGCGTTTTGGAGCCGATGCATACATGATACATGTGTCATCATTGAGAAGGACAGGCTATCGGGTTTTCAAGACCTGCCTAACAGCATCTGCCTCGACATTCAATCTACAAGAGAAGACGAGGAGGCCGATAAATTACCCTTCCTTAACGTGCTCGTCGCGCACACATCTGATGATAAACTCAGCACTAAAGTGTACAGAAATGCGACCAATAAAACTCAGGACCTCAGCTATCATATCAACCACCCGGTGGTGCATAAAGGAGGCTGTATGACGACACTTTCGACCAGGGAAAAACGCACTGTAGCGAGCCCGAAGAAATGATGCAAGAACTACGGAATCTGAGGGACCAATTAACAAATAACGGTTACCGATATAGTTTCATCAGCCGCTGCATACGCACGCACCCACGACGGACAAACGGAAGAGAGACACCAACAATTTGTCACTCCCCACCGTACATAAAGAATGTGTCCGAGGCCACAGAACGCATTATGGCAAAGTTAGGCATGAGCATCGCCCATCATCCGGCGGCTACCATGCTTAGCAGAATCATGAAAATGAAGGATCGGCTGGACGCAGGTGAGCAGTCGACCGTACTTTATCAAATCCCGTGCCATAACTGTCCTCTCCATTAAACAGGCCAAACAAGACGACGTCTCAGCTCACGAATACTTGAGCACAAACAGGTCTTTCGGAGAAGGGACCCACTATCTCAAGTCGCCATTCACACACTGGAGGAGGGTCATGAGTTCGACTTCGCCAACGTGCGGATATTGGCGCAGGCCAGCAACGAGACGCGGCGGAAACTGTTGGAAGTCTGTATGTCGGACATCAACTCCATCACTATACACGTTGACTTGCCTGCGTGTTGTCACGCCCTACGCCCATGCAGCTAGGTGGCACAGCTCACATCTCGGCGAAGGGCAAACGCCGCCATTGTTGGCCAGGCAGCACAAACCAGACCCAGCACTTTACCAGCCCCTGATTATGAACTATTGTTCGAGTTCGAAAGCTACGATCAATAAAGCTGCCGTTCCAGTGATCGTGCCTACGCCTTCTTTCAAACAAGAACCTGGGATGCGCATATTCTTTTCCATTCGTGATAAAACAGACTGCGACTATTCTGCGGACTAGGTCGTCGTGGGTGATACCGTCAATGTCTCATTCGGATCCCTTGGCGGCGCCTGTTGTGATTATGCATTGGGCTAGGGGGAGCCGCGTTGGGTCTGATTGCTCATCGCGACAGGCAGAAAACTGGCTATGGCTACTGTGATTGGAGTTCCGGCAAAGCGCCGTGGCAGACGGAAGGCCGACCCTCGCCCAGAAAGTCATTTTTATAGGAATACTGGCGAGTAGAGCGCATGCTGACCCCAGAACCACCCTCATATGTGAACGATGTAAGGGGCCGTTATGTGAAAACGGTCAACAGTAAACGATAGTTCGATCGTCGTTGCCGACGATGTCCACCATGTGCCCCACAGCAAGATGAGACAAGCACGATGGTTTGCGCTCGATTTATTTTACAATGGTAGTGGGCTTGCGCAGCACCTACGGCACTCTCTCCTCCTCCCCCACCTGAGCACGATGTCAAGACATAATCAAGAAGCCGGAGACGGTAGTGGGCGCAGGGGGCTGGCACGGCCGGACCCACGCCTAAGCATACCGCTCCACACACCCCCCGAGTCCACAACAAGCACTTTAGCAGGATTTTAGCCAACAATAAAAATGAGGGCAAGACAGGGATACCAATGTGCGCGGCGTTGGACGGCAACTGCGTCTGCCACCCCACTCAGAATTTCGGCATTTGTTATGGGTGTGCATTCCCGATAACGCTTACCAGAATTTAATATGAACCCCGTGTTTGTCCAGCGCATCTACCGCGTGCCCCTTTTAGGGGACACGGCTACTTGCCTGTAACCAGTAACAAGCACACCAGCAATCACGATTTGGACCCAGGTCAGCTGGCCATTGAGCAAGGCTCTAACTGCTGCACTAGGAGTTCATGCCACACTGGCTGTAATCATGACCATTCGGCTACCAGGGATAGTCAGGCCATGATCCATCCTGGTTACATTATGTCTTCCTTTTGTGCCCTGGGACTAAAGGCCCCCATATTACGCCGCTGATCGCATGTCGACTGCAGTCATTAACTGAGAGCTTATTAACATTCAGCATGGACCACGGGACAAAGCTTCTTGGGTTCGGGATCAAAGTTCTGTCAGATTTAGCGAGTACGGGCGCAATCTCTAAAGTTTGCAACGATTAACCGAGATTGTTTTAATGCCCTCCCAGAAGTCTAATCACGTGTTTTGTCTATTTCAATTTACCTCTTAATGCAATCATGAGGGGTTCGGCTGGGCAATAGGTTCCCCAGCGTTTTGCAAGCAGTTTCGCATAAAATCACTCTCATTTCTAATGTTAGTATTTTTACATACCTACTGTCATAACAAATGTTCGCCCTCTATGCATCTAGCACAAATTCTAATAAATACGATTTCGAAGAGTAGAGATATGGGCTTTCTCTAGTGACTATACGTTGGTTTTGAAGGAAAATTCTTCAAATGGTAATGCACATTGTCTCGAATTTGAAAATCCTCTCTTACTATTCAAGGGTTTTTGTTGTTTCATCACTGTCCACAATAGACAAAAA